GTATGTGTTTCTTGTAATCATTAACGCTTTGTATACTTACCTTAAACTTTGAAATTGTTGATGCGAGGTTGCATTACTAATATTATAAATATCAATGTCTGTCTCATGCTTCAGTTTTAATAAACTAACATGTCGGTGTATATTCAAAGTGTTTTATTTATTATAACTTTTATCTACACCCGCCTTAAAACTGCTATTAAAGATTCTGAAACAGTTAAGCTAACTGTTTCGGAATCTTCAATAGCAGTTTTAAAGCATGGGTTGCATTGCCATTGTTTTACCAAATGCGGTAAAACGATATCTGGTAGGTTTGGTTCGAAATATTGAGGGGGTTTGGTCTATGCGGGATAGGATGAGGACAAAACACTGTGCTTACTTACGGAGGGCCTCGACGGTGGCGCTGGCTCATACGCCAGCTTCTCCTGCAGCAGTCTCTTCCTGATGCCAGCGATTAAAGATGGCGGTCAGGAAAGTCGTTGTTGATAGCTATCACACACAAAACCTCCTATTTTCGAGGAAATCTGTTCTTTAACTAAGATTGTTTATTAATCTTCACACACTTCTTTATCGGAGTTTAATGCGGAAAATATAATCACAATAGCTCGCGGCGCGATGACAAATTCGACCATTTCGTTATTTCGCGGTGACAGACTTCTTTTTCTTTTGTTGAAGCCGTGACAGCCTGCTGACAGAGCCATTTTCTTCTGGCCATCCGTCGTTGCAGGCAAATATATTGCGTCTTCTTCCCTCATAAGCATAATGGACAGTGTTTGAAGGAGAACGATCGATTGGGATGCGGTTAATTCGAAAAGAGAATGACACGGTATGGAATTAAGAGATTAGAATATGTTTTGGCGTTACCAACCGGTTTGGGTTTTATAATGTTTTTTTTTTATATATTTCATTATACCTCTGTGGCCGAGTGGTTTGTACGCCGGGTTTCATGGTGTCGCCGACTCGAGAGGTCCCGGGTTCGAATCCCGGTGGGGGCAGATGTTTGTGTGATGAACACGAACATTTGTACTCCAGTCATGGATGTTTAATATATATTTCTATATAAATATATATGTACTGTATATGTATTCTATCCGTTGCCCTAGCATCCCATAACACAAGCCTTACAGTGCTTACTTTGGGGCTTGGCTAATTGGTGTGAGTGTTGGAAATATTTATTATTATTATTAATAATATTCACACTTTTTACCTTTTTAAGTTTGCCCATCAGACAGCCACAATTTTCACTGCTGGATGCTGATATGCCGATACTTTTCATGAATTTTAAGTTCTTAGAACGGCTCATGGTTTCAGAAACTTTAATAGAGGATTTATATCATGGGTTCAGATAAAGTCTTGTATGCAACTGCTATAAATAGGCGTTGAAACACTCATGTAATACTATTATTTTAAATTATTAGTGATAAACCCACATTCGTGTTTTAATACCCCTCATTACACAACAGTTACGTAAATAATTATTATTTTATTTTAACCTGTCCCAGTATCTATTAGTCTGTATTTAAAGCCCACTTGCAGAAATTTTGCTAAATCTCAATTTAACTAAAACTAGATTCATCTAATACAATGATGGCGAAACATTGACATTTTGTCATTTCTCTATGGGATATATCTAAATTTTGTTGAATCGAGATTTAGCAAATTTATAAATTGAGAGGACGCTCCTAAAAGCCCGTGAGAGTCGCAGGAAACTATTGCGCTTCTGGAAGGAGCTGGGCTGGCAATGTTAGCTAGTCCAACATACCCTGTACGCACAATGGACCAAGTACGGAGTCTATGTGCGGAAACCGGGGCCCACAACAAGTAACAAGTAATCCTGGTGGAGGAGTAAGGAGACAATTTCAACATGACAAAAATCTTAATTACTGCATATGGTTTTGGTTTCCCAAAAATGGAACTACTCAATTTCCCAGTAACTCGGAAGGGTCGAATAGTAGATTGTCTGTGTTTGGAGAATATTGAGCAAAGACCTGGAAAGCATATGAGGTGTGAATACTACTAAAAAGGTCATGAATTTCCACGCATAATTATTGTTTGAAAACTCGTCAAAACTCCAGTAAATACAAATTTGATTTCGTTTCGTCGCTTACGTCAAAATCGGAACGGAACACCTTACTTTCATTGTTGAATCAAGCCAAACTGTGTTCAAAGAGTATAATTACATGATGCAATTAACACCAAAGGCAGGCAAAGATGCAGCTAATGGTGGTCGATTGACCATTTTCCACCGACGCATGCACACTGCACAGTGGTATAGGTAGCGGCTAACTTCTTGAGCACAGCCACACACAAATAAACTTGCGTAGTAAGCGTTTTTATATGTAAAACTGCTACTGTTAAGCAATCTTGTCTATGCTCGTTGCTCAAGAAATTTGGCGGGGGGTTTTAGAAAAAAAAAGCCATATCATTAAAAGTGCGGCTAGAAGAACAAAGATAGATTAAGGTGTTTCGGGGGCGGAATGATTTTACTGTCTAAAGATTTCCGCCAAACAGTGACAGTTATTCCAAGATCGACTACTGCCAATGAAATATGGGCTTGCCTCTATTAATAGATTTGTAGCGCCATGTAATGAATTTTTAGCTGGCAGTAAATGTGAGAGTTACATTTAATTTTATGAACGCTGAATAGCTTTCATTTCATTTCATGGATGTTTAATATGTATATCTATAAAAATATACTTTACATATGTACAATATATGTATTCTATCCGTTACCCTAGCATCCCATAACACAAGCCTCACAGTGCTTACTTTGGGGCTAGGCTAATTGGTGTGAGTGTTGGAAATATTTATTTATTTCTACCATATTATTGTTAGCGGTACGAAGTTCGCCTGGTCAGCTTAGCTAAAATAAGAATGGTAATGAATACAGTGACTAATGCCTTGATCACACGTACCGAGCAAACGAGCGAGACAGTGCTCTCGGACGAGTACTAAGTACATAGACACATAGCGCCGAGTGCTCGATCGAGCGCTTTTACATGAGATTTTAACTTCCATCACTGTCTCGGCCGAGAAACATTTTACTGTCTCGCCCGTTTATTCGGTACGTGTGATCAAGGCATAATTCTTCTGATCACGATCGCAAACCGAACGCTCTAGCTACTTCGGCATGATACTCTTAATTAACTTAATTAGGTAATTAATATTACTAGCCCATCAGAAGATGTTGCAACGTGTCATTACTTCTAAATAAATATTTTTTAATTCTTACCTTAGCTTTTTCCTGAAAATGTCTACATGAAGTATAGTTCAATGAGAATATTGTCACAATTGAGCGGTGACGTGACACCAAGGAAAATATACTAATTTTATTGGATAAGAGAGGTAGGGCATTGTATATTGCTCAATCTAATGCTTCTCCCGTACAGTAAAGTCCCTACTTATTGCGCTAAATTTAGCGTTACTTTAGTTCTATTATAATGAATTATCGAGCTACGTGTCTATAACGCTAGAGCTAGAGGATAGGCGATTTTTCACATGCATAAAATATGTAGGTTGTGGGGTGCTTCTTTCACACCTGCGCGACAAAGCTTTGGCTTTGGTACTGAAAGTGCTAAAATTTTAATTAGTTCTATCGGCGACGAACCAGAGTCCTAATTTAATTAACACTTAAAAATAACAGAAAAACTTACCTTTCAGAATGCCGTAAAAGTGAACCATTATCATTTTTATTGTAACATTATTTTTTTCTTTTGTTGACAATAAAAAACATCAAGCTGATGATGTAAATCTTTTATTTATTATTTTATCCAAATATTCCTGATATCAAAAAGGGTTAGCAGTGGCGTGAAAAAAGGCCGATAGCCCAAGGCAGCGCAAGCCTCATTGAAGAGTAACAAAGCTTTTCTAAAAAATAAGGCGACCAATGCCATGTGTGAATTTCCTGTTCAGGTGAACGATAAAAAATTAAAAAGTGAGCCTAGTGTCATTTGTTAATTAAAGTTCGAGTTCGAGTTTAAATTTCTCAATTACCTAATAATAATGACAAAATTCTCAGGTCCACTTGTACTAAAGTTCATAAAAATTACGGCGTAAACGTGTTTAACATATTTCATTGCATCTTTGTCAATTGCTTCATTTAAAAAACCGGCCAAGTGCGAGTCGAACTGGCACACAGAGGGTTCAGTACAAACCTTTAGGTATAAATTAATATTAAAATACATTTGTTGTAACTGAAAATGTCAACATGAACTTTGCAATTTTTCTTTTTGCTGGCGTTCGCAATTTTTTGTGCCAAAAGACGTTGCTACATACCAAGTTTCAAGATTCTGAGTTCATGGGAAGTACCCTGTAGGTTTTGATTCCTTTGCGAGTTTCGAAATTTTGCAGCATAAACGGCTGTATCTTTTTATTGCGTTGGATTTAAAGGTTGTTTTTTTCACAGCTCCAAGAGACAGTAAACTTGAGTAATTGATATTAATTTCAGTTTGATACCTCCACGCATTCCTGAGAAAAAGGGAATTGACAGACGTACGGACGGACGGACAACAAAGTGATCCTAAAAGGGTTGCGTTTTTCCTTTTACGTTTAGCGGATTTACATTGTAATAAGGAGAACAAAAATAGTAAAACAAATGCTTTAATTCAATGTAACTCTTAAATAAAACGAAAAACAATAAAACTGTACAATTATAATCGGGCTTAATCTCATTGTAATAATACTTATAAGACAATAATTATCACTTAATAATACTTTGATTCGGTACAATGTCATGGAAAATGCATAGGTACATGAACACTATTTGTTCATCATAATTACAGCTATTATAATTTTAATGTTATCGCTTGATAAATATTCAAATTAAATTTCATTTCAGATCCAATGTAATTCTTATGCAAATATTTCACTACAACACAATGAAAATGGCAAGATCTCAAAATGTGTACAGAACAAATTTTAGAGATATCTTTATCTCCTATGAATTGTAAATATTTTCTTAGGATTCTTGAATAACTGAATGCCTTTTACTATTTATAGTTTTTAAAATATTTAATTTTTGAATGATTAAAAACAAGTAAGTACCAGACTTAAACTAAGTTTAATAAATTAATATGGCCTTCGCATTTAAGGAGAAAGGATGATTTGTAAGAAGAGGGACTATAAACATCTTTTCATTTATATTAGTTATTTAGAAAAGACTCCAGAGTTCTAAAAAACCATTGCTATTTAAAACATAAGTGTGTTTACTTTTTAATATCGATATTGATTGCAAATCGATCGATCGATCAATTGCAACTCCTCCACATTACCCACATTGCAATAGACTAAGATCATACCATTTTAGTAATCCCTTTAAACCTATGTTTACGTTACTATGCCTTGAAACAACTCTAAGGCCATTTTATTCAAAACGACATCGTAAATCTATTACCCTAAAATTATTTACTCATAAGCGTATTTCGGTCTGTCATATCAACAGTAAAATCGTTAAAATACCCACTAAACAGTTCCGCCTCCAGAATTATTCCATGACTCTATTAAATAACTCGATTAGATTATGCGATTACAACTAATATCACACATTTGTTATTAAAATAAACAAAATAAGTGAACGTTTCAGGTGCTCGCCTCAAACACTACTCACAAATACAGAAAACCAATGTTCGTACTAATACAAGGCTACGTAAAACTATCTAATTAATTTCGCTTGCTTGACGACTTGCAGTCGAAGCCGCTGTACGAAAGAACTCTACATAAGGCATCTAATTATGCATCACATGACGTCATCTCTATTGACGTATGAGAGCACGCGATCTGAATTTATTTTGCCATATACTGTCCGCACGAACCACAGCGCGCGTCTCGCTCATCAAAACATTTGAAAGCGGACGCGTTCGAATCCCGAGCACTGCTTAACCACTCTGACGGATCTCCACATTTCTGGGAGGCTCCTGAATGCGTACCTCGATCGCAATCCTCGACGGCTGCACCGCCTCTGCATTGGAGGTTCTGGCCACAGGCTGTCGTCAGTTCACACCCACTGGTAAACACTTGCACTGCTTTATCTTCTGTAAACGTTTACGCCTGAAGGGCGGATTCTGCCCCGGACAGCGGAGCGTTACTGTTATCCAGGTGACTTTCTTGGGCCTGCAGAACGAGCAGGACTTGAACGCGGGAGGCGGTCGCTCCTCGTTGTTATCGCGGCGGCGCGGACCTTTCGGTATGTAAAACGAATTGCACTGACCGTAACAAAACTTATTAAGCACTTGAGTAGGTATGCAGCCCGGTTCGCGAATTTTCTGCACCAACGGCTCCGTTTTGCACCAATCCTCTTTGAGATATTCCTTCTTGGTGACGAAGAGGGCATTTTTTGAGGACTTGAGAGCTTTGCGTATTTCTTCTTGATCAGGCATGGACACCACCATCGGTTCGGCGCTGCCATCCCCGAGTTCGTTCCTCTGCATGTAAGACGTCGGCGGAGCGGTCGCTTGCTCCGCCCGGTGCCTCGCCGCCAAAATCTTCTCCACTTGCTCGGTGTCGATGATGTCCAAAATCGAATCAGTCGGCGTGAACTGCTTCCGAACTCCAGCACCGGCGCAGACGCCACAGGCAGCCAAGACGGCCGCGGCAAGCCATAAGTGGGATTTAGATATCTCCATCTGGAACAAAAAATATTGATCTTGATTTACGGAGGTTTCACATAATTTTAAAAAGCCGTGGGCTCAGCGGAAGTCGTAGGCCTAACTCACGCTGTATCGAGAGACGGGGGCGGGCGTCAACGTGTCGTGGGCAGTGCGTCGGTGTGGGTCCGCGGCGCGCGATGCGAGTGCGGCGGCCGGCGCAGTAATGAACCGAGAGCAAACCGCTTCAATGGACCAACGCTCAATGAACGGGTGACTCACGCACCGCGCCTCCGTCACAGAACCCCACTCTTTGCGGCAGAACCGACACACGGTTCGACTTAGCGTAGTGACAAAAACATACAAAGACGCGGCAAACGCACCACCTGTTTGCAAACAAATGGGTAACCACGACGTTCCGCTGCGGATAATCAGATAAACAGCTTAAGCTCAGTTATTTTACGACCCGTCTTCCGTCTGAAATTGTAAGTTTTTATGAATAACAAATAGGTACGCTACTTAGAGCAATTAAACACCTGTGCTTACGGGCGTACTTCGAATAACATATTTTAAATTAATCTCGACTCTCATTAACATAATTGTCCTTTATTCCAATTAGTAGTCTCGGCAAATATTGATTGTACAGATAGTCTTTAGAACCGTATTAACTTATTATCACACACACCATATTAACTTATTATCACAGAAGTAGATACAGTTTTAATAACATCAAAACATAGTAGTATTTTTATAAAAGCACCTAACTTCTTGATTTTCTTTTGATATTTAAAACCCCACTTAACTTTGAATTAACCACGAATCAAACAAGGTTGCGTTATATTCCTCTAAGAATTATTGTAAAGTTGGGCATATAAGTAAGCGTCTGCCGTGCGTGAGAATCCCGATGCTGGGAAGAATAGATATTCTCACCTATCCGCGGCGCCAAATGATACGAGAGCACGTACTGAGGCGCCGGCGCAGATGGCGCGGCCGCCGTCTGATGTCGAAACCACTCGAGCGAGACCACAGACTAAATTAAAAATGCTAAAAATGAACCTCAATCAAACCACTTTCGCTTCGATTCCCATAAAAGTGTTGTGTGCAGCTATTGACACTAATACAAGAGAACTTTACGATACTGAGTCTTCTTTTCGTTTAAATTTCTAGTATTCTACAACTATTAATTCTATTTATTTATGCGATTCATTTCGTGAGGAGTCATCGATTAAGATTTTAATGAGCCAAACCAACAGGTTTAGTTATCGTTAGTACCAGGTAGGTATAGCTTTTAGGGCACTAATTGTTTACAATGGTGCTGTAAATAGTTAATGCTATAGAAATTAATATATTAGTGTAATTTAATATTTTACAATCATTAACAGCTATTAATTTTGAGTAAAACGCTCTTATATAAATTCAAATATACAAGATATATGACGAAAACAAGAATTTGAAGAAGAAGTCGATGGAAAATTTAAAGAATTTTATGTAGCAGTCAGTATTTTTATTTAAGAAAATTTTATAACAGCATTTCAATTAAGTTCATTCAATAACCAAACTTTATGTTTACGATCATTAGAACTTACCATAGGAACAGCTAAGTAACTGGTTATAATTTAAAAGGACATTTTATTTAATTTACCCATACCAAAACCCTGTCTGCACGTAGGCCGAGTCAGTGGATGTTTCCCAACTTTATTGGCAGATGTTGTTCTACCGATTGCTAATCGAGTACCAGATCATGAGACTCCAGTTTCCGCCCATTTGTGCATCCACTATGGGCATACAAACTGTTGTCGAAGCATCCGGGGCCTTCTGCGAAGTAGGCGACGCGTGGGTAGGTACTAGCCGTTTTTAACAAAGTATCGTTAAACTCGATCGTGTGGGAAATTGCAAGCAACCGCAAGCGAATATAACACATATCACCTTAATGTAAAATTGAAAATTTTATGGCAAACGCTAGAAGAGGTTTTGTGCATTGTAGAGATGCGATGGTTTAATGGATATTTGTGTAGCTTAAACCAGGCCTGATCTCGACTTCAGAAGTAAATTGTAAACACTCATAAAAGAGACTGGGCTAATTTGTTTCGGAGTTCGTCCAAGAACCAATACGGACACTGTAATGGTATTTATGTAGGGGTGCCTCGACTACACTTAAATACAAAATAGCATCAAAATCTGACGCGGCAGTTTCAAGAAAAGTGACACTTTATATTACATGTGCTTTTGTATTTTTTTTCTGCTTAAGATCTTAATGGACTATTTGGCTACAGTACACAGTATATTTTTGGCAGAAATCGATTAGGTACCTATGAATCAATGACATTAACCAACTTAAAAAAATCCCACACACCAAGTAGCCTAGCCCTAAAGTAAGCACTGTAAGGCTTAAATGTTATATAAAATGTTTTGTATATTTTTATTTTATCATAGTTTTTTTATATTTAGGTACGAAAATTACTCTACCCCACCAACGATGTTAAGTGATGGTAAAGTCCAGCCGCAAAGATAGCTGGTGCAGTAGTTATGATATGAACTGCCACGCCAATCATCCTCACCTTGCCAGCCTGCACAAATGCTTCTTCACGCCTGTTTTAAGCCTAAGTTACTTATAGTGTGAAGCTAGCATATAGCATGGTTAACAAAATAACATCATTCAAATATGCGTCGTTAGATTACACATTGTTACAGAATGCGTTGAAGAAAAGGTTCACTGCTCGTACCCCGTAGGTGATAGCGTGATAATAATATAACCTATATGTTGATCCGACTTCTTAATAATATAAATATATATCGTGCCAGAAGTAAATCCATGCAATATTTTTTGAGTTTATCTCGGACATACATACAGACAAACAAACAGACAAAAAATCTAAAAACTATATTTTTGGCTTCGGTATCGATTGTAGATCACACACCAAGTATTCTTTTAAAAAAAATATTCAATGTGGGGGCAAATTATTTAAATAACCATCAAAAAAATAGTACTTGATTCTCGACAAAAATACAATTGGTAACCTAACCTAACCTTTAGTTTACAAATAAAAGTATTTTTAGGTGGTCCTTTATTGTTTCTTTGAGGATCAATGAAACATGGGAAATATTTTTCGTTTAGAGAACCCCAGATTGTGGTAAGGTTTTATATAGCATGCTTTTCTTAAGTATTTTATGTCTACATCTAGCAAAAAAATACATCAGAAAAAGCATATTATCTACGATCAAAACTCGCCCATTTAAACAAAATATGTACTAAAATCATCATCATCATCAGCCTATTAATGTCCCCACTTCTGGGGCACAGGCTTTCTCTATGGATGGAAGAGGAAGATTGGGCCATGACCCACCACGTGGGCCCAGTGCGGATTTAATAATAATAATAATAATATTGCTTAAATGCAACGATCGCATCCTAACGCTCTAACCACCTGCGCCATCGAACTCCTCCTCGAAGTAAAATACATACATGTATTGTAAAGTGTATTTTTTAAAACTGCCGAGTCATACTTTGACACCCAATTGTATTTGAGTGCAGTTGAGGTACTACGTAAATACCACTGTATTGGTTCTTGGACCACTTCCACTCAGTCTCCTTAAAACTGAATACAAATTAATAGTAAAATTAGACTTCATACAGATACCTACTAGTAGAACTTGTAGATTCACTAATGATTGCGTATTTCCAATGTTGGAAGAAAAGCTATAATAATTATACTCCCGGACACATCTATCGGCTCACCTAGCATTTTAAGTTTTAACCTATGGTTATGGTATGGTTTCGACGGTCTCTAGCTAAAACTAAAGGTTACATTGAGCAAAAACTCTAAGCGTTATCCCCTTCGCGTTTTGTCCAGTGCTAGAGTTACGTGCCACGACCTGTAACCATCTTTTTTATAAATATATCGTATTAATTGCTCAATCTAACTTAACTATATTTTTGCTACTGACCGTTAAAAATTATAACGCTAAATGTGCCCATAGATGTCCGGATGCGTAAAATAAAAATCCTTTTCACGGGAGGTAGCATATTACCAATTTTGTAGACAATAACGAATGCCCTATTAATACCATATATAAAACACATAGTTAAAGTTAAGTATGGCTGAGCTGTGTGTCTCTTTGTCTAATATTTGGCATTATTACAGGGGTTCATAGGACAAGGATATAGATATGTTTTATATTTTTTAAGCATTTAACTGATAGATGTTTAAATCTAAATAAAAGTATAATAGAAAAAAAAAGCTGCTGCAGCCTAAGGCCAGAGAAAATTAGACGCGGCCGTCAGGGTCACAGTAGCCACAGCAGTAATGGTCAGTGCATTCGCCCGGATAGCGAAGGGTGCGGGTTCGAGTCCCGTCTGCTGCAAGGAGTTAGGTTAGGTTAGCTGACAGGGTGACCCTCTCGCACCTGCGAGGAGACGCCGGAGGACTGGGCGGCGACGCAGAACATGCGCGCAATCGTCGACCTAGCGAGGGTCTGCGGACTATTGGTTGGGCGCCAGTACACAGGCCCCTGCGACGGTGGGGTGTCCGTCGGAACGCGGATGCCCCATACCTCCGGCACGTAGATGAGCCCGCGCAGACTACTGTGCGGGCACCGCCGAGCCCACACACCCCCGCTCACTAGCCCAGTCGGCGGGGACGGTGCTTAAAAGCATTCTACCCGTTAAAAAAAAAAGTTTAGCTGACAGGGTATACTCATAGCACATTTGAGATAATTTTTTTTCTTAAACGTGCTAAAGGCATAATACCATTTTTTGTGTTAAAAGTGTGGCAAACAAGCGTATGTACATTATGATGATAAGCGAGCACTATAACTTATAGTAACCCTTATGCTACGGTACATGCTGCGGTACACCCTATCTAGGTAGGTAGGTGGGGTGTATCGTGTATGTACGACAACCCTGCATCACACAAACTTGCAGCCTCTCAGAGTCGATCGTAAGTAGTCTAAAAATTTTGAGGTAGATCGCCAGCAGTTCAAGTTTGAGCACCTAATATAGACGTTTGCGATACCAAAAATATCACGCTCACGAGCTCTGGAACCTTACTCACCGACAGAATACAACACCACCCAAAGCTGTAAGATGGACGTTATTTTCCTAGACGAGCGCTCTAATTCAAGCGGAAAATCCACTATTATATCCTACCTCTCCTATTTTCAGCTGTCATCATCATCATCGTACGACGCCCACTCCACACTACAGCATAGGCCTCCCCCAAGGATCTCCACACCGATTGGTCCTGCGCCCCTCGCGTCCATCGGCGTCCCGCGACCTTCACAAGATCATCGGTCCACCTTGTAGAGGAGTGGGGGCCTGCCCACTGAGCGTCGTCCGGTGCGTGGTCGCCATTCCAAAACCTTTCCGCCCCATCGGCCATCGGTTGTTCTTGCTACGTGTCCTGCCCACTGCCACTTCAGCAGAGCAATCGTTCGAGCGATATCGGTTACTTTGATTCTCCAACGGATTTTCTCATTACTGATTCTATCGCGTAGGGAAACACCGAGCATCGCTCTCTCCATTGCTCGCTGTGTGACCTTGAGCCTTCTTATGAGAAACTGTGGGAAAGGGGGTACCTGTTGGTTTGTTGGGCTGGTTCCTTGACGCCTGTTCTTCCTGTCCTGGAGAAATGTTCGCCTGTGGCGCGCCACTATTTCTTTTTTTACACTAATGTTCGCGGGCCCCGGGGCGGAAATATGTGTAGGCGAAAAGCGTCTCCGGAGCGCGGTTTTTTCTCAGTCGTGGGAGTTTCTTGGTATCTCCTCTCGGCGATCAGAGCACACAATGGCCGTTGCCTTTTTCTCTCGTCCGTTCGTTCGAAATTCAGCGATGGCAGCGCCGCGGACGAAGTTGACAACAGGTGAGTTTAGAGGAAGGGATAAGGTTAATGTGTTTTCACAAGCTTACGATAGATGGCGTTAACACCCGCAGTAAAGGACCACGTCTCGCTTCCGTAGGACATCACTGGCAACACACTTTTCAGCTGTAGTAAAATAAAAATATAAGGATATTTCCTCAACTAGGCGATTTATTTCAAATGGGAAATCCTTTACAACGGCATCATTATTTTTAATGTAATTATTATTTACGTGTTCAAAATCTTTTTGGTAAGTAAGTATATTCTACAAATCACGTTATGCTAACAAGATTCTTTAACGTCATCGTATGCCCCTACTGATGGGAATGCCCTACCTTAGGGAAACCATTGGGAAGTTACTTTCCTTTAAATGATTTTAAAATATGCTATAGTTCCTGATTTATTGCTTTGTGTTTGCCCAACTACTTATCTGGATTTGTACTTTGATTTTGAACTTTCTAAGTCATCTCGATCTTGGTTAGAGTTTTGATCTATATAAGCCAAATATGACATGTTTATGTGAAATTATATTCGAGCTATGAGGGGGTAAAAAGTGGCGTCAAATGGTTCGTGTTATTTAACACACGGTGCTGTTCGCCAATTATGTTAGATCTTGGCTTGACACTCTTCCGCGTGTCTAGATTGAACAAAGCCATGATAAACCAATATTACCGATTTTTCAGTTGCTGTAGCTTTTCTTAAATTTCTGAATACCCACACATATTTATCTTACTTAGTACAAGAAATTTCAATATGTTCTTTACAACTTAAATATTTGACAATTGTTATATTCAATAACTTGGCATGAGTAAAACTAGTAATTTTTTTTTTGTTTCAGAAGTCTGTGTAGTATTGCTATTATTTCTTTG